GGGTTCGTGACGAGGACCCGGCCAGGTGAGAATGGCTCCTGACGGGAGGCGCTCCCTTTACAGAGCTCAGGGAGGTGGCAGGCACACACATCCTCCAGCGAGGTGAGGGTGTGGACCCTCAGCCTCCTACTCGGGAGGGCCCTTTCGGCCCCCACCTGCTCCCTCCCAAGCTGGTCCAGGTCATCAGCATAAAGTTTTCAGCCTCATGAACATGCAAACAAGCCGAGGTGTCCGGTGTTAAACATGGACATTCTGAGCCCTGGGAGCACCACTCAGCCCCTCCCTCTCCCCCACAGATGCCCCAGCGCACAGCCCTCACCATGGACTGGAGCTGGGGAGCCCTCTTCCTGGTGGCAGTGGCTGCAGGTCAGGGGCTCCCCAGGCTCTGGGATGAGGGGGGATCGGGAACCAGTCGATGGGTATCTCATCCAGTTGTGTCTCTTGTCGCCAGGTGTCCACTCGCAGGTCCAGCTGGTGCAGCCAGGGGCTGAGCTGAGGAAGCCTGGGGCTTTGCTGAAGGTCTCCTGCAAGGCTTCTGGATACACCTTCACCAGCTACTACATGCTTGGGTGCGACAGGCCCCTGGACAAGGGCTTGGGTGGGTGGGAAGAATTGACCCTGAAGACGGTGGCACAAATTATGCACAGAAGTTCCAGGGCAGAGTCACCTTGACTGCAGACACGTCCACCAGCACAGCCTACGTGGAGCTGAGCAGTCTGAGATCTGAGGACACGGCCGTGTGTTACTGTGTGAGAGACACAGTGTGACCACTCATGTCCTGAGTGTGTCAGAAACCCTGAGGGACTGGGAGGCAGGGCTGGGCTGAGATGATGACAAAGCCATTTAGGTGGCTGCTGCCCTAGAAAGTGGGGCCAAGTGATCGTTAAAAAGGAACAATAGAAACGCATACATCCTAATGACATCGAAGCTGCCATGAAACCCTGCTCTGTGAGCAAATCCAAGGAGTGTCAAGGACGGATGTGTGAAGGTGACAGAAACCTTCCCACGCAGACACTGGTGGGAGCATAAATATCCAAAGTATTTAGATAAACACTGGGCAGCCCCTCCTCATCCCATGGTGTCTGTCTTACCCCCGGGAGACTGTCAGGGGCCTTCCAGACTTGTCGCTATGCACATTCCTTCCAGAAAGCTGAAGAGAGGTGATTTCGGTCCACTCTATGTCCGAAGTTCTACTCTTTCAGTGTTTTGTAGCAGATCAGTAGCAGAGTCTCATCATCACGCTGTTTCCTGTTTCCCTCATGAAAAACCAAGTTGCAAACCTTGTCTCTCTTCTTTGTCTCCCCTCTCGGGCCATGGGCCCAGTTCTGACTGGCTGCTTTCGTTGCTGTCGCTCAGCTGTAAGTTTCACGTGTGCTCGTGACAGAAGCCCTTCACCAGACACGGCGTCTGAGAGCGTGTTCTCCGCCTCGTGGCCTGTCTGTGCGCCCTCAGTGTTCTTGCTGAGCTGCTGTTGTTCACAGAACATGGCTTTTAATTCAGATGCAGAAAAGTTGCATGAATCACGTCACGGGTAGTCTGTCTACACACTCGCTGTGAAACTCAAGGTCGCCCACAATTCCTGCCATGACTCTGAGGCCAGGCACATTCAGGGATGAGGTGTTAAGTTTCACCTTCTTAGAGGAAGGGTAATCACAACAAATTACCTGGTGTTAATCCTTCGGGGACTTTTGCCCTTCCTCCCCCATTAGATTTATGTATCCAGTCTCCGTATGTCAGCATACATCATGGGTATATTTTCACACTATGTATCAAGGTAATACTAAGTTATCCCTTTAGCTCCTGTAGTTGTTACAGCTTGCTGGCCACTGGGAGCTCAATCCGTTGGCTCCTATGTCCATTAACCTGCCCCCAGCCATTTATCTGAACATTTCCTTGCTGTCTAGCACCACAAGGACCTGCAGGCCAATCACCTGCATTCCAGCCCTAGAATTAGCCATTCCTCAGACGCAGTGTGGCTCCTGTTCCGCAGAATACTGTCAGTACTCAAGATGCTGGGGAGCAGATACTGATGTTGGTGCTTTCTCATTATTTGGGGTATTGCCTCTGGAGCCAATCAGCTAACAGGCCTTAGAAACATCTCTATGTGCATTTCCCCACATGCACACACACACATTTCTACAACTAACTCTGTATCTGACCTTCTGACCTGCTTTAAGGTGAATGTGAGAACATTCTTACGTCCCCAGCCCCAGTGCACCACCAGGGGGTCAGTCTACCCACCCGCTCCTGCCACTTGCACTCCGCCAGTGAGAAACCCGGCACCGCCCGTGCCATCCATGTACCTGCTGGTGCAACCCCACGTGCACAGTAGTGATGGAGTTGCTAGCCTGGCCCGTGCTGGAAACATCCTTGTCAGCCAGGCTCCAGAGCTTCTGTGCAGTGTCCTTGGACCCTTGTCCTCAGACTCCACTCAGTCACACAGTGACTTTGGTCAGAAATGTGTTGTCACCTTCTTCAGTCAAGTTGATTCATAATGATCTGAGGTATTATCTACACAGCCTACAAGTTCCATCTTTGAGCCTCTGAACTTCCAAATGCCCTTTATATTTCTACTCAGTAAGGTTCACTCTTTGCGCTAATAGTTCTATGTGTTCTGACAGGTTCTTAGTGCCACGTTTCCAACACTGCAGCTTCATAGAGAACAATCTCACCACACTTAAATATTGTCTCTGTTTCACTCACTAAATGCCTTGTCCCCAAATTCCAGTAAATACTGACCTGCTTACTATGTATACAGTCTTGCCTTTCCCAGAATTCCAAATAGGTGAAATCATACAGTTTCAGACTGGCTTTAAAAGTAGCAATACGCTAATTTTGGATTCATCCTTGCCTTTTCATGCTATGATAATTTAACATTTAAATTGCTGAATGGAATTCCACTGCATGGATACATCATGCATTGCTCATTTATTCATTTAAGAAGAATGCCTTTGTTGCATCCAGTTTTCTCAATTACACGTGAAGCTACGAGAACTCACGTGCGTTTATGATGGAGACATAAGTCTCAAGTCGGGTGGGTGAGTGCTTAGGGGCGCGAGTACTGGGGTCGTGTATCAAACTCTAGGTCTGTGAGATGTTGCCCTGAGGAAGGTCTCTGGAGCAGGGACCCATCGGCTGCCGCAGTCACCATGCTGGGGTGGGGTCAGGGCCCAAGAGGATGTCTGCACAGGGCGGACACCAGGCCCAGCCCTCAGCCTGCTGAGCTCCCAGCCTGTGTTCAAGGGCAGCTTCATGTAGGTGTGAGTGTGCATCTCAGAGACAGTGACCCCACATGGGGCCAGGAGGGACTTCCTCAAGCCCCTCCGAATCAGAGAGGGTGAACAAAGTCAGTGGCTCTTGTCACTTGAAGCTGGCAAGAGCTGTGGCAGTATTTTTGTGCATCGGTCAACACCTAGAACTTCATTATCTACTTCCGCACAGAACCTGCTTCCCCACCTCGTGTGCGGGAAGTACATGGTGCAGTTTGGTGAGATGACTGGACAAACATCGAACTGTTAGGTGGAGGTGCTGGGAAACAGCCCCAGGTCGCGCCCAGAGCCCAAGGCCTTCCTTCCCGTGAAGCGGGAGGGCCTGCGGTCCCAGGCAGGAGCTCCCAGCCGTCCTGGTAGGAGAGAGGCACCCGCGTGAAGGGAGGCAGCGTCGCCTGGCTTCCACCGTAGACACTCGCAGAGGAGTTAGTTAGGGGACGGCTGGGACGCTGTCACAGCTGCACCGTGCCCGTCCTCAAGCCAGCCGTTTCCAGTGTGATTCTGTAGTGGTTCTTATTCCAGTCAGCAGCTTCTGCCCCAATTAAGCTTACAGTCTAGTTCTTGGTTACTCTGTGAGCATTTGCTTCTAAGTTTTCAGTTTCATTTGTTTTACGACCACAGTGATCTGATATATGAATGAAAACCTGATAATCTGCAACTTGCCCACTCGTACGGTTGTTGTAGGAACGTGAAAAGAGAGTCGTTTCCCAGCTTCTTAGTTCTCACCGCTCCGAGATGGGCACCAGCTTTACTGCAACACCCAGAAACTAGAAATAATTCCAACACCGCACAACAGCTTAAGAGACAGACAGACTGTGATCCTTACTGGGAATGACACATGTTGTTAAAACCAAGGATTCTCGATACACGCAGCAGAACGGCGCTATTGACGGCATCTGCGCTGAGGGAAACAAGCCGTACGGGCGACCTTGCGCGCAATATGGCCCCCCTGGGTAATTCTGGGAAAAGAAAGCTAACCTGAAGCAACAGCGTGGAAAAGAGGAGGCAGAGGAAGGAGGAGCTCCGGAAACCAGCGAATAGATGGAAGGGAAGCACTCCGCTCACTCTCGATTACGCTGATGCTTGCGTGAGTGTGTACCAAAGAGCGCATTCCAGCACGTGCAGCTTGCTACATGCGCGACGCTTATTAAGGCTGTTACCAACAGAGAGTGGCTGCCTGCGGGGGAAGACGTGGTGGACAGACGCTGCAATGCTGGAGACCGCTGAAAACACAGCTTCTGAACTCAGACCCTCGACGCTAGGGGGCAGCAAAGTCCTCACGTCTCACTTCAGGGAGGGGGTGCACAAACCTCACAAGCACGGTCCTGTTTTCCGGGACTTGACGCAGGGGCAGCTGGGTCTAGTGGGGATGAGCACAGGTGTAGGAGCTGGGACTGGCCCTCCCCACAGGCGTGTCCTTGGACACGCAACAAGCCCACTACATTTTGGCTGTAGTTCACATCTCTACTCTGCGGGAAACAGTGAAACTTACATCACAGGGTTTGTGTCCATATGTGAAAACAAAATACACATGGGTGACAGGTGTTTACTCTGGAAAAAAGACATAGTGGAAAATCGTATTTTCCAGAATTCTATCAAAACCACCAAATCCAATACACTCACTCCTGCTCTGGGGTACTGCCCTTGCTCAAACTCCAGGCTTGCTATGTAGTGAGATGACATGCAAATAGGGCCTCCCTTTGGGGATAAAGCCACCCAGCCCTGGCCCTGCAGCTCTGGGAGAGGAGCCCCAGCCCGGGATTCCAGCTGCTCCCATTCTCTGAGCAGGACTGAGCACAGACGACCCGCCATGGAGCTGGGGCTGAGCTGGGTGGTCCTGGCTGCTCTTCTACAAGGTAATTCATGGAGAAGGAGAGATACTGAGGATGTGGGTGGTCGTGAGTGAGGGAATCAGAGGACGTGTGACAGTCTCCTGACCAGGATGTCTTTGTGTTTGCAGGTGTCCAGGCTCAGGTGCAGCTGGTGGAGTCTGGGGGAGGCTTGGTGCAGCCTGGGGGTTCTCTGAGACTCTCCTGTGCAGCCTCTGGACTCACCTTCAGTAGCTACTACATGAGCTGGGTCCGCCAGGCTCCAGGGAAGGGGCTGGAGTCGGTGTCCAGTATTTATAGTTACAGTAGTAACACATACTATGCAGACTCCGTGAAGGGCCGATTCACCATCTCCAGAGACAACGCCAAGAACACGCTGTATCTGCAAATGAACAGCCTGAAACCTGAGGACACGGCCGTGTATTACTGTGCCACAGGCACAGTGAGGGGAAGCCGGTGTGAGCCCAGATGCAAACCTTCCCTCCTAAGAAGTGTGTGGGTCCACCAGGGGGTGTGCAAGACTCACAGAACAGAAAGACCAGCCCCAGGAGCAAGTGCAGAGGCGGGTGGAAAGGGGCTTCCTGTCTCTGTCAGGGATTTCCTCTACAGCCTCCCCCCAGGACATTTTGTGTTGTGCTCCACGTAGCCCTAATTTCTCATCTTCTCAGCGCAGCCGACAGAGAAGGAAGTGACACTGTCTGTTTAGAGATGAGCCACCACCAGTGAGGAGGGCTGTCCCCTCTCCAGGCTCCTGTCCCTCCCCTTCTGTCCTGACAAGAGGGCTTCCTGAGGGCTTTCATCATCTGTGAGAAACACCAGCGGAGCCCAGTCACCCTGTGAGCTGCTCTCGTGTTCCAGGCGCACACTGACTCCACGCCTGTGAGAATCCCGCCGGGACACTTGCCCCAGGCGGCTCGTCCTCTCGCCATGCGTTCCTCCCTCACACGTTGTCACTGTGGTGGGCACTGATGATCACAGGTGCCCTCCTTCTGTGCCTGTCCCTGAGTCTCCGGGGTGTAGACACAGCCCATCTACAAGGTGCAGCTCTCAGGTTTCCACGTGAATACTGCAGGACAACAAGCGAAGGGACGTGTGCCCTTTACAGCAGCGCTGGGCCATGTTCTGGGCAGGTCTCTGAAAGCAGTTCGAGGGGCCATGTTCTAAGAAGCATCTCAGTTTCCACATAGACAATCTGCACAGATATCGAGAACCAGCCCCACAGAGACCTACCCCCTCCCTGCCCTCTGCTGTCTGTTGATTGTCTCACAAAGCCCACCTCAGCACTGCCTGCTGGCTCCCTCTGCCCAAATTCTCACTAAATCTCTCCTAGACCGTGGGCTTTCCGGGGCTGGAGTCCTTCTCACTATTCCCAGAACCTCCACCAGATGCCAGACAGAGTGAGGTTCCGTAACGAACCTCAGCGGTGAGGACAGAGACCTACACGGTGTTGAAAGGGGAGTGCACTGCTTAAAACAGGTTTTAGAAGAAAAATGACATATCAAAAACAGCAAAACTGGGAGACAGTCAAGATGGAGGTGTAGAAGGAGGCCGTGCTCACCCTCTCCCCCGAATACCACAAAAACCGCATCTGCAAATGGAGCAAATCTCACAGACTGCCTACTGAACTTTGGCAGAGTATCTCTTACAATTGGAAACACAAGGAAATACTCACAAAACCGGATGGGAAAAAAAAAATCAGTGCAGGAGCTGCCCCCTGGGGAGGGAGTGGAGAAGGAGGAAAAGTGCGCTCACTCCAGGAGGCCCCCTCTCCAGCAGGAAGGTCAGCAGGGATAGAAAAGGAGCTTCAGAAGCTTGGAGGGAAAATTCGTAGCGACTTGGCAGACAGAACTGGGACAAACCAGCACAGAGGGTCTCTGCCATCCCTAGCTCTAGGTGTGAGCCAGTGAGGGTGGGCTGGGTGGGGCTGCTGGAGCTCAGGCTCCTGTGGATGATCCCGGGCAGAAGGCTGGTGCTGAGTGTGCATAGGCAGCCACAGTAGGCAGAGTGCGGTGCAGGCTGCGGGTAGAAGTGTGCAAAACAGGCTGGGTCAACCCCCACGACAGCACCACTGCTGGGGCACGTGGGGAGGGGTGCAAAGCAGCCCAGCCCCAGCAGTCGTCATCATGAGCCCAGAGGGCACTGCTCAGCACCGTTGTGGCACACATTGCCCTAGAAGAGGGGTGGGGCTCAGAAACCGCAGGCCTCTCAGCGTTCTCTGGGGGGCACCGTCCCTGCAGCGAGGCTCCGGGGCAGAGGTGGGGCTGACACCTGAATCCATGTCCAGGGTCCTGTGACTTTGCAGGTGGGACTGAGACTTGTTTCAAGCCCCAGGCTGTGGTGGCAGATTTGCATAGCTGGTGCCTTTGTGGACCCACACTTCTGAGGTAACCTAGTGGGCTTCTGGTGCTTGATGTGGGGCAAGCCTGGTGCTGACAGTGGCCCTGCGTACCCGACGTGGACATGGGGCTGAGGTCGGGGCTGACCCGTGGCTCATGGTGGATCCAGGTCCCAGTGCCTGATGTCAGTGGATCTGCACTGGTGGCTCTGCAGGGCAGAACCTGGGGACACCAGAGTGGGTTGCTGATATTCCCCTGGCTGAGGGGGGACAAGGGCAGCAACTGCAGAGTGCACTTTGGAAGCCCAAGTAACTAGTGGTGGGCGACAGCACAAGGGCCCTTGCCAGCGGTCGTCTCCTGTGGAGGAGTATTCTGGGGCTCGTCTTCCAGCAGAAGTGCTCCAATCCCGCCTGCCACACACTGCAGCTCAGAAACGGGTCTGGACTCTTCGACTCCTACAGTAGGGGAGCAGGCCCGGCTCTGACAACCACAGAGCAAAGAGGAGGCCCAGTTCAACAGCCAGGGCAGGCTCTGGTCACAACACCAGCCACACCCCTGATCAAGGGGACAAAAACCAGCACACATGTAGGAAAGACACTAAAAACTGTCCTTGCGACAAAATTGTTAGATTTGCACAGTCTACCCATTTGAAAAAAACAGCCCTTCAGACACAGCAGGTAATTGACACGTCTACACCCACAGCCAGAGAGGTGCAAGCAACGTGAGGGGGAGCTGCTCCCGAGTAAAGGCACCAGAGAAGTTCCCTGAAAGAATAAACAATAAAACAGACCCGACAGTCTGCTAGAGCCTAATTCAAAAAGGAGACGACAAAAAGCACTAAGGAAATAAGAAAGACCATCAACAGAAATGTAGAATACAGGGTTTTCTAAAATGGAAATAGAAACTGTAAAGAGGAGCCAATTAAAATCGGAAAACTCAGTTGCTGAGATAAAGCTGAGCCAAACGCAGTCAACAGAAGACTAAATAATACAGAAGAACGAATAAGTGACTTAGATGACGGGATAATGGAAACCACCCGATCACATCAAAGCAGCAGGCAGAAGAGCAAACGGAGACCAACGAAAGCAACATGAGGGACCTATGGGGTGATATAAAGCAGGCCAACCTCCACATAACAGGGGTCCCGGAAGGAGAAGAAAGGGGAAAGGGATCAAACAGGTACTTGAAGAAGTCATGACCGAAAACTTCCCGAACTTCAAGAAGGAAACAGATATCCAGGTACAGGAAGCAGAGAGGGCCCCAAACAAGAAGAACCTTAACAGGTCTACACCAAGACATATTATAATTAAGATGGCCAAAGTTAAAGATAAAGAAAAGATTCTAAAGGCTGCAAGAGAAAAAAAAAGAGGAGTTACAGGGGTCCCCCCATAAGGCTCTCAGCTGACTCCTCTGCACAAACACTGCAGGCCAGAAGGGAGGGGCAGCATACACTCACAGTCCTGAGTGAGAAGAAGCTGCAGCCTAGGATACTCTATCCAGCAGGGCTATCCTTTAGGATAGGAGGAGAGATAAAGAGCTTCACAGGCAAGCAAAAACTAGAAGAGTTCAGCAACACTAAACCCACGCTACAGGAAATGGTGGAAGGTCTGCTGTAAATAGAGAAGAAGCAGGAAGCTACTTTCTTCAATTATGGAAAGCCATAATTGAAGCATGAAAATATCAGAGAACTAAGAGAATAAACATGAAAATGTGAAAGAGGACATAAAAATCAAGTTGTGGGAGAGGGGAACAAGAAAACAATTTTCTTTTCATTCTTCTTAGGATGTGTTTGAGCCTGCATGACCACCAGTCTAAAGCAAACAGATACAGTAATGGGTTAACATACTTGAAAAACAGGGTAACCACAAATCAAAAGCATACAGTAGAGTCACATACATCAAAAAGAAACCAAGCTGACACAAAAGAAAGTTGTCAAACCAGAAAAGGAAACAAAAACAAAAAGAAAAGAACAAAGAAGAAATGCCAAATTAACCAGAAAACATAGTTTAAAATGCCAATAAACACACGTCTATCAATAATTATCATGGATGTCAATGCTCCAGTCAAAAGACACAGAGCAGCAAACCAGATAATAAAACAAAAGCCTACAATATGCTGCCTGCAAGAGACCCACTTGAGGGTGAAGGACACACATAGTTTGAAAGTGAGAGGGTGGAAAAAGGTATTCCATGCAAACAGAAATGGCAAGAAAGCAGGAGTAGCAATACTCCTATCAGACAAAAGAGGCTTTAAAACAAAGGCCATAAACAGGAAAAAATGACATTATGTAATAATAAAAGTAGAAATACAAGACGAGGATATTGCATTTGTTAACATACATGCACCCAGCATAGGAGCCTCTGAATATATGAAACTAATACAAACAGACTGAAAGGGGAAAGCTGATGTGAGCACAGTGACAGCAGGGACTGCAACACCCACTAACGCCCTGGACAGAACTCCCAGGCAGAAAACTAACGAGGCAACCGAGATACCAAATGGCACAAAGGAACAGTTGGGCTCAGCTGATATTTTAAGATGTTACATTACCCCCCAATAGTATATACTTCCTTTTCAAGTGTGCATGGAAACTTCTCAAGGATAGACCACATACTCGGCACGAAAGAAGCCTCAACAGATTTAAGAGGATAGAATTTATTTTGAGCATCAGTTTTGACCACAATGTCATGAAACTAGAAATCAATCACAGAAAGAAAAATAAGAAAACAAACTGCACGGAGACTAAACAACATGCTGCTAAAAACCAATGTGTCGACAAAAACATCAAAGGAAAAATTTAAAAATACCCTGAGACAAATGACAATGAAAACACAACCACACAAAATCTACAGGACGCAGACAAAGCCATCCTAAGAGGGAAGAGCACAGCGGTACAGATCTTCCTCAAAAAAGAATGACCTCAAATAAACCACCTAACCTGCCACCTGAAAGAATTAGAGAAAGAACAGTGAGCAAAACCTGAAGTCAGCATCAGGAAAGAAATAATAAAAATTAGGGAGGAACTGAATAAAATAGAGACCGGAAAAAAAAAAAACAATAGAAAAAAATCAATCAAACCAAGAGCTGTTTTTTTTTAAAGAGTGAAAAAAGAATCAACAAACCTCTGGCCAGCTTCACCAAGAAGGAAAGAGAGGATACAAGTGAACAAAATAAGAAAGGAAAATGGAGAAATTACAGCCAATACCACAGACATTCAAAAGACCACTAGAGAACACTATGAACAACTATATGGCAACAGATTGGACACCCTAAAGGAAACGGACAAGGTTCTGGAAACATAAAGTCTACCAAACTGAATCAAGAAAAAATAGATCCTTTGAACAGAATGATCACTAGAAGTGACCAGAATCAGCAACAAAAACCTCCCTGCAAACAAACGTCACTGGGGAAATTTGCAGGAAAGTGGTCACCACATGCAGATGGCGTGGCACTTTACGTAGAAGCCCTAAGGCTCCACGCAAAACGACTGGAGCTGATGAAGGAATTCGGCAAGGCAGCAGAACACAGGATTAGCACAGAGAAATCGGCTGCATTTCTTTCCACTAACAATAAAATATCAGAATGGCTGCTATCAAAAAGAACACAAATGACAAATGTTGTCGAGGATGTGGAGAAAAGGGAACCCCTGTACACTGTTGTTGGGGATGTAAATTGGAGCAGCCACTGTGGAAAACAGTATGGGGATTTCTCAAAATACTCAGATGAGAACTATTACATTGTTGTGGAAAAATGTGCTACAGCTCGGTGTTACAGCTCAGTTGTGTCAGCAACCTGGGTCCAGGCGGGAGACCAAGCAGCACTCGGAGAGCTGGAGAACTCAGGTTTACTACGCCAGCGGGCCCAGAGGAGTCGGCACTCCAAGCTCTGGACCCCGTCTGTAGGTTTACACAGGATTTCATAGGCTGCCAGTGTACACTTTGCAACATCACATGCAAATGAGGTATAACGAAAGTTGACTAATTAGGAACAAGCTTTGCAGAAATGGACAAATCAGGAGGGAGAGATAACCAATCAGGAGTGAGCTCCATGCAAATGAAGCACTACAAATGGACCAATCAGAAGTTAGGGAAATGGACCAATCAGGAGTGAAGGAAATAACCAATCAGGAGTGAGCTCAGGGAACCAATAGGGTTTTAGGGATAAGTAAGCCGTTTCTGGGCCAGGGAACTGGATGGTGCCGGCAGCAGAGTAGTGGCCCTGCTTGGGGGTCCTGCTGGTCTTTCTATGGGACTTCCCGCCTCATTCCCCACTTTGATGCTCTCTTTAACATCTGCAGCGAGCATCAGCCTTACAGTGGTGCCCCTTATTCACCATTGGGTTCTTCTGGTCCAGGGGCCTGTACTGAGTGACTAGTAGCTGCCGTCTCAGTGACTCTATCCATGAGCTAATGAAACGGGTAATGAGGTTAAGGATGCAGGGACCAAACAGCAGCGCTGGAAGGATCATAAGGAGGGGGCCTGCTGGGGGTAGGCAGGAGGCCCAACTCCAGGCGTTAGTCCCCTGTGCCCAGGAGTTTGCTGATTCCTGGTTTCTGCATTCAGCTCGATCTCGTAGTTGTTGGACCGTATTTCTGACAATTGCTGATTGATTAACGTAGAAACAGCATTCCTCATTTAGGAAGAGACAGAGTCCCCCCTTTTTGGCAGTGAGCAGTTCTAAACCCCTCCTGTTCTGTAGGACAAATGCCACTAGGGAGTCCAACTGGTTTTGTAGAGTCATTCAGGACTCAGCCACCTGTTTTAAACCTTCAGTGACCTCAGCAGATAACTGCTGGTAACAGTGGGAAGATGAGGCTGTTCCTCCTATTCCTTTGCCCACTCCAGTCGCTATTCCAGCCCAAGGAGTAGTGGTATTAACTGGATGGCCCTTTTTGATCTAGTATGGGCCATCAGGGGTACGGGAAGGCTCTGGTTATCAGGTGTTATGTCCATCTGAGGGGTAAGGAAGGCCAGTGTGCAAGTACCTGTCCAACTGGCTGGCAGGCACCGTAGGAGTGTGCTCCGCAAACAAAAAAGGTTCCTGGGCTCAGTGTGCACCAGGGCTTGGCAGGCATACAACTGTAAACAGGTGTGCAGTTATGGGTTTGGGCACACTGGGCAGTGGCCAGATTTCCCAGAGTCTGGGGACCACCCAGGGCGGCCATTGAACTTGGTTAGATCTGAGCGGCCCATCGGGCTGGCCGCATGCTGGAGGGGCCGGGATGCAGGCAGAGCCAGCAAGCACTTGCTAGTTGTGGGTTAGTAGCATGAAGAAGGTGATGGACTTGCTTCATAAGGGACTTAATTGGGGGTCCTGGTTATAAGGCATGGACCTAGGTCTATTTTTCTTTTCCCAACCCTTGCTAGGTCTGTAGAAGGGCCCTGAGCGTGTGGGCCGGGGTTTCTTCTGCAATTTGGTGAATGGGTCCCATTGGAACCTCCGTCATGGAAAGAGATAAGTCAGCAACTCCTTTCACAAG